CAACATACAGTGACTAGGACTCTTGCCTGTGCCTATAAACTGTGAACTAAGGTCATATGAGTTACAGACACATTTTGCTCAGACCTTGTGTATAGTACATTGCGTCACATTCAGTATTTTCAATATTCCAACATTGCTCATATTGTCAGAATAATGACATATTTTTATCGGTGGTGATAAAGTGGTCATTTAAATCATTTTGTCCTGGCAAGTTTATTTAGTAAGTCATGCAAGAGAACACATTCTAATCTCCTGTAGTGTCTCTGGTGGGAGTCATTGTTGTCTTCTGAAAGCACGCTGAGAGTCAGAGAAGGTCACAGTTTCTAAATACGGCAACTTTTTTCTCATATTTTCTGGGGCACCACCTTATATGCCTGCACGGTGTTGTTGCAGTATTCTTTTACGGTTATCATTTAAACATGTAAAGCAGAGTTGGCTGACTTTGTGCCTGCTCTAGGAAACCACATACATACATGTATCTATGCATGCAGGGATGCACAGTCCTCATAAATGTAGACACTGGAATGCTCACACTCAAACAGCTCTGACATGTCTCTCCTTGTCCTTCCTTAACTTCCTGCTCCCCTCTGTATCCTCACAGCTTTCTGAAATAAATTGTCTGCTTCCCTTTGTGTACTTCAACTGCTCTGAACCATACTACTCCACACTTTCCAAACACATCTGTGACTGATTGCATAGTTTTTGTGAATCTGCTTTATCTCAGTTTTACAGTGAAAGTTTTAGCATTTTCAGATGTTCTGTATAAACTCAACAACTCTCGTCGCACTTTGGGAACATACAGAAATCTCATGCTTGTGTTCCATGTTTGTATGGTATTGTTGTCTGGTACATTTTTTGGCACACCAGCTCTGAATGATGGAAAACAGAGGCTCAGTCTCCTCCCCTCAGCAGATTATTTATCGAAGACACTTAATGCCCTGACCTCTTTCTCAAGTACGTCTCCTCTCAGCTCTATTGCAGCAACTCCTGTGGTGTGCATAATTACTCAAGTGACACGGGGCAGAAAATGAATGCCTTGATCTATGCCAATTATTGTGTGTGTGCGAAAAAGAAAAGAGTGAGACAAAGGAAGAAAGAATAGATTGAGCCAAAGGGTTTTACAGTGTTTGGAGAAAACAACAACTTCTATCCTTGAATCCTCATTGTATAGCATAGATGCCTTTTTCACCATCGAGACGAGGTGAGAAAATTTGATTGGGATAATCATATTTTAATAATGTAATAAGTTTATCGTTCCCACTGTGTCTTGCATTGTAGTTTAGGAATGTAGCTGAAATAAAATTACATGACAAAATGAATGCAGCAAATAATCTAGCCTTTGTAAAGAAAGTGTTTTGGCTTTAACATCTACAGTATTTACAAATTTAGCGGGTGATTCAGATTCATTTTGAGCCATGGCCGTATGTACAGATATTAAATTCAAGTGTAAACGCTGCTTTTTGTTGCTGTAGCACACATACAAATGTATCTATTATCTTATCCTTTTCCCCCCTTGTAATCTGAAAAGATATTGTCATAGGAAAAGGTGATGTGACTTTAAGCCTTTGATGACAAACAAGAAGCTGAGGACTGTGAGCAGTGACATTTAGCAGAATGGAATTTGTGGAGCCTGACAGAGGGTTCAGTCATCCATCCAGTGTTTCTGCGTTTCCTTCCTCCCCAGTTATATCACGGTTCAGGATTACTCCCTTATTGGGTAAACTGTGGTTTCCCATTGTCTTGGCTTCTAAGTAATACCGGATTTACTTCCCATCTCAACAATAAATTCCCTCATGAGTTCTACTCACGCCTTTTGTTGATTCTCATAATAGAGTCATCAGGGTGTTGACATTTTTATTTTCTTCCAGCTGTGATGTCAGTGCTGGTGCAATACCTCATTAAGCTACTTGCAAAGATTGTTTGTGTCTTTCTTAAAAAGGGTGTGTCTCTGGAATTACACTGTACGCACGCACACACACACACACACTCGGTGAGTGGAGTTTGGCTGAGAATCACTGTGGCTGTGACATCAAAGTAAATGTGATAATGAATCACTTGTTAAGCATATGCTGGGTGTTATGTTACAGCGCTTTCACTATCTCTCTGTTGCCTTTGTCTCTGTGTTGTTCACAAGATGATGCATGCACTCATAAACAGAACAGCTGGTGAACGGACTGACCTGTGTCTGGAATGACAACTTATAAGTCACTTATGTGAGTGTGTGTGCATTCACACCTGCAGTGTAAAAATAAAAAAACAGATGGACCACTTGATGTGATAAGTGTGGGTGGGGAGCTGTGTGTGTGTATATGTGGAAATACTACAGTTTTGTTAAGACGTACTTTTGATTTAATATTAAACATAGAAAGACATAATGAGAGGAGTGAAGGACCGAGATTGGTGCGATATGTAAATTAAGACATTACAACCAGTTAGAAAATTGCCATTGTCATTGCAGCTCACATATGTGTCCTAGTTATGTGCGCTTTTGTCTAACAGCTAGTTAGAGAAAGAGATGAGAACAATATGACTGCCCTTTCCTCAGGGATCAGGCAGATGACCAAACTATTGCAGTCCACAGCCAAAACTCACACTCACTTCGCTGCTGCAACTCAGAGAGATCACAAAGAGATAGCATAACATTTAGCCATGTAGTTGTTGTGGAAAATATGCCTGGCATGTCCTGTATATCTCTGTGGCTGTGTTGAGTGTATTTGGATAAACTGAGATAACATACTGTTTCTGTTGGGAGAAGAAATTGCAGTAGAAACTCTACAAGGTGTTTTTTGGAAATATACAGTGTTTATTTTTATTTTACACTTTCTTTTAGGCACCTGCACTTTAGTAAGGAGGTAGAGTAACTGATTAGTGTTTCTCTGTTTTATGAATGAATGTTCTGCATTTAATCAGGAGAAATTAGGTTTACTATACAGCATTCTGGCTTTAATTTGGTCCTTGAAGAATGTTTGCTATAGTATGTGACCCATAGGCTCTGCACTGAATGGTTATTATTGACAGATTGACTATAACAGATGGATGGAATAGGAAATGGAGAGTTGGAAAGATAGAGCCCATCCATTAACACATGCTTGTACCTTGGCTGTGTAAGACGAAGCCTTGGACTGTTGGAGTGATATGGCTTTGGGGGGAGGAAGACTCAGCATAATCAAAAATTCTCCCAAAAAAAGCAAGTACAGTACCCTGTTCTCATAGCCAACAAATCAAACGTGCTAAACACAACTGAAAGTAATAATAACCTGCCATTAGGTCAGTGAATCACTTGTTGTTACCCTTCCTCTTGTAAAAAATATACAAGCTCAAGGCAAACAGCAGGAAGCATACTGGTGTTAGTATTGGTCATTTTATCATTGTATAACATAGAGAAATGCTTTGGTTGCTAGTTGGATGTTTTGGTTCTGGATTGGAACATCCTTTCTATACCATGTGACCACATGTCTGTGTGTGCTCACACTACTGTTTCTGTTCTTAGAACATCATCTTTTACATGCTAACATGAGCAGGGTGTCCCATACTTGTTAAGGTGTAGATAATATTGGACTAAATGTGTGGCAGTTTCCATATTGACAGTGAATGTGATGACAAAAGGGACATCATCGCCATGCATATTACACATTACGCTGAGGGGAATCCCCCACCCCCTGACCTTATCAGATTGCTCAGTAGCCCTAGAAATAAGGCAGATATCCCTGGTGACAGGACTTAGTCATCGCCTGGGTGGACAATCACTGAGGAGATTAAGGAGCTCATTGTGCCACTGCAGTGGGAAATGGTGTCTCTGGTTTAGAGATAGCTTTTAACTGTGAGTTAGTGGTGTTGTTAGAGCAGAGGTATCCCCTGTGACCCTGCACACAGTTTAAATAAATCATATCACTAGCAGGGCAGCACGGTGGCGCAGTGGTTAGCGCCGTTGCCTCACAGTGAGAAGGTCCCGGTTTTCGGGCCCCACCTGGGACCTTTCTGTGTGTGCATGTTCTCCCCGTGCTTGCGTGGGTTCTTTCCGGGTACTCTGGCTTCCTCCCACAGTCGAAAGACATGCAGCTTAGGTTGATTGGTGTCTCTAAATTGCCCATAGGAGTGCATGTGCGTGTGTGTGGTTGTTCGTTTATGTGTTAGCCCTGCGATGGATTGGCGACCTGTCCAGGGTGTACCCTGCCTTCGCCTGATTGCCGGCCGGGATTGGCTCTGGCCCCCCCCGTGACCCCGTTCAGGGACTAAATGGTAGAAAATGAATGAATGAATATCACTAGCGGTCATATGTACACTAGATGGCTTTGAATATTGCTGTAGAAGTTCTCACTGTTGATGATGCGTCAATCTGCCACCAATCATAATCATCTAATGCTCAGCTCGATAACGAGTGACTGATTATAATTTTAGTACATCAAGCGTACAAGAAATTTTACGTCAGCCAGCAGTGTGGAGCCTCATATAGAACCCACCTGCCCACACTATGCACGTCATACACAGTCTGTATGCATGTCATGCTCTGAATGTCACAACTCATGACTTTGGATCCAATTTACTGTACAGAATCATGTAGAAATGCATGGCAGAGCCTGTGCTGCTGCAGTGGAAGAAAATATTCATGTGGGTTTAGTCAGTATGTGAGTAAGCTCTGAAATCATCAAGACCACTTAGATGGATAGTACCACAGATACCTGAACCATGTCATGTAGCCATAAGTACAGTCTGTTACAGACAAACTTTATTAGAACCTAGCTTTTTAATTAACGCATGCTGTGTGTGCATGTGTATAAGAATTTGTGTGTAAAAGATCTGGGGATGTTGATTTGGAGAAAACTTGCAAACTGTAACCAGACATGTTGTAACATAAACATTAAGGTCATTGTGCACAACATCAAAATAATGTTTCAGTTCTGCACTAATTTTCCCCTGTTTACAATATACAATAAAATGGTGTTAATAGTATATTTTCAGACTCTGATTGTTATCCCTTTCTTTTTTATCTCCATATGCAGTTTTGATGTGGACAATGGCACGTCATCAGGTCGCAGCCCCCTGGACCCAATGGCCAGCCCAGGCTCAGGCCTTATCCTGCAGGCCAATTTTGTCCACAGCCAACGGAGAGAGTCGTTCCTCTACCGCTCCGACAGCGACTACGATCTCTCACCAAAGTCTATGTCCCGAAACTCCTCCATTGCCAGTGATATGTGAGTGCATGACATCTTTTGCTTTCACCTGAACCTCCACAACATGCACTCCAGTGTGGTGAATGCACTTAATTTGACCTTTAATGACTAGGTCTTAAAGCAGTCCTCTCTTTGGCCCTGCTAGGAAATGTGCATGACCAACAGCTGATCGTGCGGTGTCACATCTATTCTTGGCCATATCCAGTAGCACAAATAAGGTGGTCAGTGATAAAGTATCTACAAACACAGGTTGTGTGTCTGACATTTTGCCAAATTATCCATTTTATCTGTATACAGGAACTCAAGGGCAATGGGATGGGTTTTTGCACTGCATTTAATCTGTTTTACTTTGAATTCATTTGATCATTTGATTTTTTATGATGCTTCTTATAACGGCATTAAGCCACAAACATGGTAGTTACTCACACAAACCAGCGGAATCTTCTGGGTCAGCATCTATGCTGAGAGCACATTCAACATTTCCAACACATTGGTATCCAGTTACATTACATGTACTGTGGACTTAGTGCAACTGGAAATAAAAAATATTGACTGAAAACATCCAGCCTAATGGAAAGACCAATAGAAAAAATAATGGCCTTCAGTAACCTTAGACATCCACCTCACTGCTGCTGCTTTTTGCTCTGATGTATTAAACCAATGACCTTTTCTTGCTATGCCCAGTATCCAGTTACCACATTAAAAACCATCATTGCATGTTTTCATTAATCCTTTATGCCTCATTCATTCTTTCTTTTTTCCTGTTGAATTGCTGAAATATACAGGGAAACCTGAGATAGCTAGCAGCAGGTAGCCTGTCTTAACAACTCTATTTATGAAATTCAGAAGAAAATTATCCAGAAGTTCTTTACAAGAGAACACCTAACAGAGCTAGGAGAGCCGGTTTGTACTCCAAAAGGCTTTAAGAGTAATATGAGAAAAAAAACACCCAAGTCAATGGGCAGAATGGTGGGGCAGTGGTTAATGCTGTCATCTCACAGCAAGAACGTTCCAGGTTTAAGCCCTGGCTGACCTGATGCTTTTCTGGGTGGAGTTTTTATGTTCTCTTTGTGCCTGCATGGGTTATCCCCGGGTACTCCAGCTTCCTCCCACAGTCCAAAGACATGCAGCTTAGGTTGACTGGCAACTTTAAATTGTCCTTAGGAATGAGTGTCTAAGTGTCAGCCCCGTGATAGACTGGCAACCTGCTCAAGGTGTACCCTGCCTCTCACCTAATGTCAGCCCCCTACGACCCTCTTCAGGATAAGTGGTATAGATAATATCTATCCACAAATGCTTTTTCCTTCACTTTCGGAGAACATATAACCCATCATCTTTAGTCTGAATACCTTCCATTTTTGATAGGAGCACATGTCAAGCCTGTGTCTCTTTTGGCTCTCCACTTGCTTATTAAAGCCCACTGAGGTGCTCTTACGCAAATCTCTTAAAACCATCTACTCCAGGAGCTATGTGTCTAAAGGCATGAAAACCAGGAAAAGCAAAGTCAGTAACATGTCCATCCGACTTTTCCCTGAATAAATAAAAGTGGAGGAAGGTTGACTGTATGAGGGATGTTGTCAGTGCAGCCAGTACAAAGAGAAGTAGCAGCTTTTTCTATATTCACTAAATGACCTTATGTGTAGAGAAACATCCAACAGTAGAGCTCTTCATTTCTCTTGCTGGAAGCTGGACTATTTCACAATGTGAAGGATGGCCTCAGCTCGTAGCTGGCGTGTGGAGTAAACATGCCACTGTGATTGACTGAATCAGACACACTGAAATGAATCTGATATGACCCCACTTCCATCTTTAACATGAGCTGTCAATATACTATAGACCTGTATCTAATATTAAACCTGCTCTCTGTGTTTCTTTCAGTCATGGTGACGATATGATTGTAACTCCATTTGCACAGGTAAGCGCCGGCTCCAAGTTTGTTGTATGGTCTTCATATATAATATTGACATAAATTCATATGTAACTCAATCCTAATCTGTCATGTTCCCCTCAGGTTCTTGCCAGCTTGAGAACTGTACGAAACAACTTTGGTGCATTAACTAATCTACAGCAAGACCGAACATCCAATAAGTAAGTTGCCAGTGTTGCTTTTACTGTTTTATAAATGAGATCTGGTGTAGCCAGAGGAGTGATTTGAAGTCACTGACATGGTGCACCTGCTAGTGCTGTGTCCAGTGATTGCTCTCTCACTGTGGCTTTGCTCGCCCTCTGGTGTTTATATTGAGTACTGTGACAACAGTCTGCAGCAATACTTCCTACAGAAATGAGCAAAAAGAAAGTGTGCTTCATTACTGCATAGAGTCATGTAGAGATTTTGAAATAATCTGCTTGTTGTTTTGCTTTGAGAAGGAAATTTCTCAGTGCCTGTGTGTTTGTTTCCCTTATGACAGGAGATCACCCATGTGTAACCCACCACCTATCACCAAGACCACCTTCACAGGTAGGTGGACAGCAATGACATAATGACTTGTCCTCACTGTAGTGATTATAGTGAAACACAGTTGTAAAAGTATGAAAAATGTCTTCGTCAGAGAAGTTGTTGATGAATACTGGACATTAGCATTTTGACGTTTTATATGTATCTACAACTGCATTATGGTGTTTTACAAACCATTTATTATACCTCTGTGATGTGAGATAGAAGTAGAAATATTGGTGATACTATATATGCCCTCTTTGAGTTTTACTAAATAGATTTGAACTGATACAAAAGCATTCTGGTGTTGCTACAGTGATGTTTTATAATAAGGATAATAATCACCTTTATTGATAAGATGTTAGCATGGTGGTAATGAAGGGCTGGAAAACACAGTCATGCTTGTGCAAGGAGCCAAATAACGCACATATAATATCCTATGTGGTCAGAATGCAAATATGGATGATATATTTTTCAGAGTATTGGTTCACTGAACCAAAACAATGTAAAAGAAAAAAAGGATGTCAGTGACCCTCCAGATCTTTATGTTCTTTATCAATTTTTGCTTGACAGTTTTTTTCTTGAAATTTTATTCCAGTATTTCTTAAGCTATGTTTTTGTAAAGGTTTTATGATAGAGACAAGCTGAATAATCTAACAAGATGCTGAAATGTTTAGGTTTGTTTTGGTTTATATGATGCACATACCTGTTAATTTATAGCCCATAGATGTATCAGTACCTCAGTTTGTATGAAGTCACAGCTGACTTGGATTGTGTTGTAACAACTAGATGGTCAGGATCTACTGCAAGGCTGTCTGCAAGGAGGACACAGCGCAGACAATCTTAGATGGACAGAACAGACTTGTCCTTGACAGTCACTTTTAACAGTATCAGTGGCTATAACCTAGCTGGTGTTTGCAAGAGAGACCTCCACCATTGATAAATCATTTCCCTGTGTTTTGTTCATTGAAATTAGCCTTATGGCACATGCACAGACACCTGTACAGTCAGCTCAACACATATTCATGCACATAAATGGGGTAAAACATTTACATTTAATATTTTAAAGTACAGCTGTGACTGCTTGTCATTGCATTGTCATTTGTCACTGACTTAGTGTATTGTTGTGGTAAAGGAATTTTAGAAATAAATACTGATAGTTCTGTGAACGGCTGCACGGTGGAACAGTGGTTAGCGCCGTTGCCTCACAGCGAGAAGGTTCCAGATTCGGGCCCCACCTGGGACCTTTCTGTGTGGAGTTTGCATGTTCTCCCCATGCTTGCGTGGGTTCTCTCCGGGTACTCCGGCTTCCTCCCACAGTCCAAAGACATGCAGCTTAGGTTGATTGGTGTCTCTAAATTGCCCATAGGAGTGCGTGTGTGTGGTTGTTCGTCTATGTGTTAGCCCTGCGATGGATTGGCGACCTGTCCAGGGTGTACCCCGCCTTCGCCCGATTGCCGGCCGGGATTGGCTCCGGCCCCACCCGTGACCCCATTCAGGGACTAAGCGGTAGAAAATGAATGAATGAATGAGTTCTGTGAACGTTTGTAAATAAGATAGATGTTGGTTAAAACTAAATAGAGATCCATGAGACTAGGGCTCCTGAGTGTCTGCTTAGGGTGAAATAAAGGATGGGCAGTTCTTTCTCTGTACATGTGGGACAGATCAGACATAAAGAAGAATAATTCCGGATGTTTTTACTGTTTATGGTAAATTGGAAAATTATATGTGGCTTTAACATTTTCTTAAACTGTGACAGAATTCAAACTACATGGCATGTAAATGTTTGATGCAGGTAACTGAAATGCATCAGTATATTTGTTTTTCCCCAGAAGTGTACCTTCTTTGTAATCCTGCATTGGTCTTCCTTCTCTCTCTATCATCTTCTCCTGTTCACAGTCCAACTTCACTGTTGAGCAGTTCCGTTACATAGTTTGGCTACAGCCCTGCGTCTGTGCAGCAGAGTGGCCTCTCCGAACGCCGGTGTCTGATGTCGCACTAAGCATGAGAAGAATGTCATTGACGTCAGTGCAGCTGCTGTCAGAAAGAGTAGCACCCCAGCCACTGACACCACACAAGGGAGCAAGACAGAGGGAGGGAGAGAGAGAGAGGGAAAGAAAGAGCAAGAGAGAGAGAAGTGACAGAAAGGAGACAAAAGGAGGAGGAGGAAGGATGTTCAGAGATTAGTGGAGGAAACGAAGAGTGTAGGAGACTAATGGAAGTAGGGAGGGAATCATTTGCCAAAGACAATGAAGCTAGAGAGGGGAAATATTGTTGAGGTGACAAAGGACTTTTAAGGCTTGTCAGTGGTCATGTTTGTACACTAGATAGACCTTCATGGAAACAAAAATGGTGTACATTTCTAAATAGTGTGCATGTACAATAATATTATAATTAATTACTCCAGATTGTGACAGTCCTGAGAAATATTCAGGAGCTAAAAGACTACACAACACAGTGCAGTATTTTTAGAAAGGCTTTAAAACACTCTAAATGCTGCCTGAAATGTTTTGCTGACATTGTCATGTGATTACATTTGGTCTTCTGCCACTGTTTTCTTTGTCTGTGTAACTGAATTACAGCTAAAGTGACCCCCCCACCCCCCAAGATCACATAACATTAAAAGCCTGTGCTTTCCCAAATTAGTCAAGGCATCAATATTAATTGGCTTCTGACAAGGTGACATTTTCTGTTAAGATGGGCTGACTTTGAGAGAGGCATGCCTGCAGTTTCAAATTAAAATAAACTGAAGGATACTTTGTTGTGGCGCTGGTGATTCTAAAGCTCTGCCATCTTTACCATGTCGTCGGTCATCTGTTTGTTTACTTCTCTGTTTTGGTGCATTTGTGTACTGTATGCTGGGGGCACACATATTAGCATGCATGCACACACTATGGAGGGAGCTCCCAGCTCTGGTTCCCCTCCTCTATCACTCCAGTCCATGTCTTGTCATTCTCCCTTTCCCATCTACAGTGCAGTCCTCTCAGGCTTTAGGTACAGCTTGGGGAGAGCAGCACGTTTGGCTACCAGGGACGCTGAAGCAACAGCAGCCCACCCCCTATACACACAGCATCTATAGGAAGCACTACCTAGCACACACAGAGCACTGGATTATACCCTTTACTTGCTGGGATACCATGGATGTTTTTATTGGCAGAGAGGCTAAGAAGACAAAATCATGATGTGTTATGGTTAGCATTTTGTCTGGTATGTGTGTCTGTTTGCGACCATATGTGTCAGGTGTCTTTGTGTTTGTTAACCTTGTCAGGATGTTGTGAATGGTCTCACGTTTGTTCTGTGTTGGACAATACTGACATGGATCTTGATTGGTTTTGAGCTTCTCACTGGACCCACTTCTCCACGTCCCTGTCTTCCCTCCATCCTTCCCATGGCAGACATGGGCCTGCTAAGCAGACTGCTTTTCATCCTGCTACATGACTGGAATTATACCTCTTTCGTGACTGACAGTCAACCATATATACCTACTGTAGATCACTAAGTGTGATTTTTGTGCTGTGTATGGAAGATGAGTGGTTCTGTGTGGGATTTTTGTTTTTAACTCTGTCGGTTACCTCTGTATTTTGTGCTGTAGTTTCCTTACTGTTAACAATCACTTGGACACCCAGAACTGTGCGGCTGTTTGCCATCCACCACCTGCTACTACACTCCCTGGGATTGTACCTGACTTAATCTTAAAAGGAAGAAACCAGGATTTTAACTATAGAACTACACTGGAAATTTCTTTTCACCAAGGGAATCAATGAGCTTTGCCACATTTGACCTCTGACTGCTCAGTTGTGGGTTAGCATACAGGACAACAAGGCCCTATTCCCAGGCCTGCACAGCTGACTTACCTGTCCAGTATGAAGAGTCACCCATGTGTCTACTCGGGGTATCCCAGCTTAGCTGTATGTGGGGTGGGAGACCCCGGGCCTGGACCGTCCACTAGCCATCTGAAGCGGGCCCTTACTGACCCATTGCCCTCCTGTCTTGCCCCTGCAGAGGAGGCCTACCAGAAACTGGCCACTGAGACCCTGGAGGAGCTGGACTGGTGCCTGGACCAGCTAGAGACACTACAGACAAGACACTCAGTCAGTGAGATGGCCTCCAACAAGGTAAAAATAACCAAAAGGTTTACACCAAGTTGTTCAAGGCTTTCATCTTATGAGCTTTATGTTAGAGGGCAACATGGTAGCACCATGTTTGGGGGGGGTTGCTTGTTTTGTTTGTTGTAGGAATGTACTGCCTGTTTTACCTATTGAAGCATACAGAAGCTACTACCCATGATTCACTGGTGGGTTTTTTTTCTGGCTGACATGGACAAAATCTGTTATTACACTTCAGTTTTAGCATGACACACACACACACACACACACACACACACATATATATAAAACAAGCCTGATTTGAATGAATCTGCAAATTTGGCAGTTTTTAAATCAATCCTCACTTACAAATGGAGTTTTTTCACATCCTATGAGTGAAGAAATATACAAAATACAAAGAAATCTTCTCAGGATGGGTAAATTCTACAGTTCTCCAATATACTATATACTGTATGGTTATTCAGCTACTGTGAAATGTTTATTGCTCAGTGACAGGCCAGGCTGATGCACCACATGACTTTGTAAAAAATATAAGGAGCAGATAGGTCTGATACATTTCAGGCTGATTTAATTGGTTTTACTGTGTGTTATATTTTTAAGTAAACATGACCTCTTCTGTGTGGCCTCTCTCCCTGTTCAGTTGTCAAGTGTTTATCAACCCATAGTAGTTACTGTTTGAGCCCAAGGAGCTCACTACTACAGGTCTATATTACAGTCGGTGCTTTGATACCTTTTTCAGCACCCAGTCATCAAAGCGCACATTGGACTGCGTTTGTGTTGTATTGTGTATATGTTAAGTGACAGCACTGTCCTTCAGGCAGGGAGCTGAGATGTAAGCATGCTCAGTCACCTCTACTGTGTGTGAGGACATATATATAAAGGTGTGTGTGCGGAGAGAGAGAGGCCGTTATGCTGCTCTGAATTCTGATCAGCTCTGGGCTCTGGTGATGTCACACACTATGATGTCACACAAGAGGGGATGGACCTAGACAAGAGGCAGCAAGAACAGATGGACAAAGGAATTACACAAATGTTCCCGCTCACCGCTGATGTTACCACAATCACATGCATGACTAGGAAATCTACCTCATTTATAAGTGAAAACAAAAAAATATGTAACATATATTACCTCACCAGTACTCACAGCACAGCTATCCCTGGTTGTCGTGGCAACAGCCACCGGCCCAACCATCCCACTATCTCACTCCAGCAACACACATGTATCAAAGGTATTACAGTCAATACATCTCCCACACATAGTCGTTACTTTGTGTCTGTATCCTGCAGACTTCCATTTATCAGCAGCACTCAATGTAACTCTTAATTCATCAATGAAGGAAAGTCTGAGCTGCTGCTGTTTTGTGTTCCTTCTGCTTCTTTCCTCCCCTGGTAAATGACCCAAATCAGATTTAGACAAAATCTGGGAAAATAATGAATGCCACCTCTTAATATCAGCTTTCTCAAAGTTACTCTGTTAGTAGAGCCTGCCATGACAATAGGTTAAACAAGGTGATATACCTGTCTGTCCTAAAGGATCTCACACTAGGGTGATGACAATATGTTCACTATTACTGTTGTCATACTGTGACATTCACACAGCAGCTGAAATCCAGACTGTACAAACCAATGCTTATTTTCCAGTCACTATACTACACTTCTAACTCTAACAGTGTTATAAATGAGATCAGCATTACACTTGTGGCTTATCTGGTGGTTCTGGTTTAGGATGCTCCTGTGGTTAACTTTCCACCTTTTGTGTGGGTGTAAGTGTTTCTGGAATCAGCAGCTGGTCTTCCTCTGGCTCTGCTTTAGGAACAGTGTGTGCAGGTCAAGTTTGATCAGCATGCCTCTTTATGGTTTCAACATTTTCTGAGGCAACATTGGAAGACAATGGATTTTAGGACACCACGATGTCTCGTGTGAAGCTACTTTGGGACTGAAAGAGTACATTTTGGTGAAGGAAAGATCTCCTGAAGTAAAACGTCTAGTTTGTAAAGCTGCCTCTGTTGAACCTGCAGGTTTAACCAGGTAATAACTGCTCAAATGTAGATCTCCGTTTTCACTCATCATCTCAGTAGAACTGATACTTGCTGTATGAGAAATGATATGGATCTGGACTCTGGATCACTTTGCCCGGGAAGTACCACTGTGGTTGGTACAGTACTGTTCTCTCTGCACGTTTGTTTGAAGGCAGACCAAATGGTGCAGGCCTCAAACAGCAAATGTCATTGACTTTCATTAATGACTCAAATGTAGCGCTTTTGAAATCTCATCCATTTTTCAACACAACCTTTTTGACAGTCCAAACGTACAGAAACCTTTAAATGGTTTCTCAATAGTGATAACTCTTGTTGCAGCATTGGTCAGGTAAATGTCTGCCTACAGTGTTTAGTGACATCTGCATTAACTAAATGAGAAAAGTCTTTAAATGAACATAGATTCTTGACCTCAAGTCATGTCATCGGTGGACACTGCAGTGCTTTTTACAGTCACCATATGCTGCATCCTCTCCTCTGGCCACCACACATCCTGTCCAACCTGGCTGAAACCATTAAATTTTACACAAAATATTAAATAGACAGCACTCAGAGAGTGCAAACCTCCACCAAAGCAGATCAGTTCCTGATAATGCTATTTTAAAAAAATTGTGGATCGGGATGATAACCCAGATCTTCACCAAAATGTAATGGATTGTTCTGAGGGCCATAATCCTACCTTTCCAGAAATTTCAAAAACTATTCATAACTTTTTGAGCTATGCTGTGAACAAACCAACAAACAGCAATAATAACATAACCTTCTTGGTGGAGGGAAATATAAAAATGTTTGACTTTGTGTGAATCAGTCCAATTATTTTGAATCCCAACACTCTGGCCACTATCTTCCACATAGATTTTTTTTATACATTGAGGTAAACCTACTCTAATTAAAAGCTGCAACTCTAGTGTCTATTATTTTATTTGAATGTGCTGAAGCATAGAGCCTGAAGAACAAAAAATAAAGCTGTCCAAATATTCATGGTCTCCACTGTTTATCACACTGGTGTGTTCCCCCTTAGAATCACTTTTTAGCTATTAAAATGTTTACCTTCCTGCATTTAGGTTTCCTGCTCCATATTTTGTTTATATCATGAATGGCCAGCAGACTTGCTTCTCAGTCAGTACACTCATTGACAAAACAGTCGTGTCAATTAGCGTCGCTGCTCTCTGTATTCTGTAGAGAGGTGGCATCTGCCGCCAGAATAAATGTGCAATGTCTGAAAAGAAACAAATGCAGCAGAGATGTGGAGGTGTTGTGGGCTATATACAGCAGGGAACAGATATTTTTGTTCACTCCACTGAAGAACAAATTACACACAAGTCACAGCTAAGCTCGGTGTGACACTTTCCAATTTTTACCCAATACTTTGTGTTCACACCTCTAGGCTAAGCTATCAATATGTGTGTGTATTTGTGCGACTGGGAGAGGGAGTTTGTGTGGATAGTAAGGTGTCTGTGGGTGTTATATTTGTGTATATGCTCCAGCTGGGAGTACACCATGTATGTATGTATGTATGTGTGTGCTGGGGCCTGTGCTGGCCTGCTTGGCCCTGAGTCAATCACAACCGCTGAATCTCAGTTAGCTTACGGTCTCATCTGCTCCAGTGTAGCTGTAAATTACTCACAGTGCCAAGCTGGTTATAGAGGTGGGGTGTAAAGTAAGCAGAGACAGGTTTGGTCCCTTTGAATCCATGTAGCCGCTGAACCATTACAGACACACGACACACGTGCTCTCACACATACACCCAGAGAGAGAATGAGGAGGCCTCTTCAGTGAATTTCTAAGTTTATAGACACTACAAGATTTTTGATTTGCAATTAAATGTATTTTCTGTGTGAATTAAAATATCTTTTTTCTACCCCATAGATGTATTTTTCGGTTAACATTTATACCAGTACTTGTATATTTTACATCATGTTCATTAGGCCGTTGAGCGCTGTGTACCACGGTGTTTTAGTCTTCATTACTAATGGCAAATTTTATAGTCCTCAGCTGCTTTCTGTGTTTAAGTTGGTTATAATTTGACAGGAAGTAAGGAAATCTGTCTAAAGAAGTTTATCAGTTTCTCTGTATCTTTTGGCTGGTGGTTAGTTGTCAGTGTTGTTCTTGTATTTTATTTTTCATGATCTTTTGTCACTTGTAGTTTATGCATTTTAAGCAGAGCAAAACTTTATTTATATAGCACCCTTCTAAACATAGTTACATAGTGCTTCACATACTGTATGTCCACAAAATAAGAACCAAAAACAGAAAATAACAAAATAAAAATCACACAATAAAATCAAAAAATTAAATACAATATGCTAATTTCAGTTATTTGATTGTTGACCCTCCTCCTGATGGACATTTTTTTAGCTGTATCCATGTTTTTGTTTGCTGTTTCTGTGAATATATGTAAGGTCTTTTTTATTCTCTTTATATAAAATTATCTCAGAGACTTCATGATCAAATAAAATAACATTAAGATGTCAATACTATTGTGAATTACCGTAGCTAAAGTGCAAATTTTCTTGAACTGAGTGAGACATAGTGCAGCCTCTATGGACACGGTGCTTTCAGTTTCTGTTACTGACACTAAGCCTGGTCCAGGTGACGCGTGTTCCTTCTGCAGTATTAATGGGTTTTCATGTATTGACATTGTTCTCATCAGTGACGTTACTGTGACTCACCTCCCATGTACACTGTGTTGAAAGCTGACCAAGTTTTCTTTTACTACTGTGTCATGTTGGATGAAGTAACTTGCACTTGTACTACATATTTTTATGTAGAGATTAGGTTAGTCAACACGTAAACACATACATACACACATACTGTTGCATAATGTGAATATGTGTTGAATTCACACAAACAAGCGTGTAATCTTTGCAGACACACAATCGCATCCCGTTGCACTGCAGGAATTGAAGCAAAAGAAAGGGGGAGATTTTCCACTGACTTCAGTCCCAGCCAATCACACAGCAGGTGACCTCAAGTCTGTTCCAATCCAAGCCAATCACAGGTGAAGATGAGCTCACCCTTCTTCCATAGCTGTGCCCTGATTTGCTGCTGGTGTGTTACACTGTGAGAGAAGCAGTCTGTGCTCTTCACATGGGAGCTTGTCTGATACACACAAAGCGGGGAGACAGCCTGGGAGCTGTTGATAGAAACATTTTGCTGTCCTGGTGTTTTGGCACCTAGCAAGCATCCGCCCCATATCCATCCATTATTCATGACCTGACGCAGCGTGTCCCTGTATCTGAGTGTGTGTGCGTGTGTGTGTGTGTGTGTGCGCACACATGTCAGTGTGTATCACAGTGTGTGTTGACACAGTATGCTCCCATCGGTTTTTGGGGAGCCTCACTCCCCCTACTTCTCTCTCAGAATATGCTTTTCCTGGAACATGGGCTTTTTGTTGTGGATTTTTGCGGGCCAGGAGTGTGATACTTCTTTTATGGATTTAATACTGGCTTTACGGCTGATTTACATTGAATCAAGACCTGAAGGTTCTTCAGGCTGAGATCTTTTACTGAACAGAGCTGCGTACTGTTTTTGCTTTGCTAGCTGTTTAGTGCTTGCATCATTCAAACTCTATTTTTGGATATATACCTTGACTTTTACATTTTTGGATCTTTTTTCTTTTCTTTCTCTTTTTTTTTCTTGGTTTGTCAAAATGCCTGAAGCTAATTATCTGCTCTCTGTATCTTGGGGATATATAAAGGTAAGATGTGGTCTCAGATTAGTGCATGTTAGTTATTTATTTAGGTGTTGTCTTCTACACCTAATTTAATGTGATTGTTGAAGTGGAAGTGATTTTTGTGGATGCAGGGTTATATGACTACAAATAGAAGCCCCATAGTATAAATAGCGCCTTGCCAACATGTCACCCATGTACAGTAACAGTGCTTCATAGGTGTGATATTTCTGGATGCATCATTCATTTTGATGATGGAAAGAGCAGGTCGTGCTTTGAATGATGTAAGCATGGCTAACAGTTTTGATTTAACAACACCACTGTAAATTGATATAAATACTCTTTCATCAAATGTTATTTTTTTTATGTCACAAAGGCTGTCCTAGCCGGAATAAAGCTGGATTTTTAGGTCTATATTACTCTGAGTACTTGGATTATTCAGTATTTTTCGATGTAATGAGGGATATACCTTTTTAGGTTAGCTGCCAATCTAGGTAAAAAGCCAGACTTTATTTAAAAAAAAAATCTTATCTCACTATTATTTCATTTATTAGTTTGAGCAGTTATCGTTCATACAAAGTCAGCTCTCACATGTATATGTTGCTTTTCTACTCTACTGACAAAAGTTGCATGTTTTTGCCTCTTACCCATTGAAAGCCAATAGGTGTTTTTCAATACAATGTCATTACATAATTGCACAGTAAGCACTCTGTTGTGTTGTAATGGTCTGTTTTAAGTGATCAGTATTGATTGATAATCAGTATTGACTGATAAATCAATACATATTGTGCATTTGGACTGAAACCAAACAGCGTTTTTGTTCAAGACGTTTTTTGGTTTTCTGGCTCTATTGTTTTGCATCCACTTTGGAAAATCCCTGATTTAAAGCATTTCCCCCAACATCAGTTTTGTTTGGTCTTCCAATCAAAAGGTGGAGCTAAATTTGGGTCTGTCACTTCAGTTGGTCACAGGAGAAAGAGGTGAGAGTGAGAGGAGGTCGAGACAAACACTAAAGCTGAAAGAAAGAACATGGCTTACTGAATATGTACCGTCATGGCAGTAGCCCCCTGACCTACTGTGCATTTGTGTATACAGTATGTATGTTACACCACAAATGGTATCTTTAATGGGTACAGCTTCTATGATGTGACTGGAATTTCAAGGATCTATTGTGCTGATAAACGCATTTTAACTAACATTTTTGTGTTGGTGACCTTTCACCACTGGTGCCTTAAACCTTTTCTATATCTCAAACAAAGAAAACATTTATAGTCAGATTACATTATACAATGTATGTACGTATTACACATTATCTATGTGTGTGTTCTTTTTTTAGTTCAAGAGGATGCTGAACAGGGAACTGACTCACCTATCAGAGATGAGCCGCTCTGGGAACCAGGTGTCTGAGTTCATCTCCAACACCTTCATGGGTAAGTGATGGCACAGGAAGGTAGATTCACTGGGTTGGAATTTGATAAAAACCTCCATCCTGCCCAAAGAAATGCAGTTTGAGGTTTCAGAGTGAACCTGTGGTGTCCTATTTTATATGTGTTCCAAAAACATGCAGTAAACATAGTTTTTCTAGAATCTTTTTTGCTAAAGCCATGATATAATACTGTAGTATCAAACCCAACTATTATTTACATTAACAAAACTTGATTTTTTTTTCCCATCACCCTTCACTTTCCACTTGTGTTTTGGTGGCTCTGTCCAGACAAGCAACATGAAGTGGAGATGCCATCCCCTCACACGCAGAAGGAGAAGGAGAAGAAGAACAAGCCTATGTCTCAGATCAGCGGGGTAAAAAAGCTGCAACATTCCTCCAGCCTCACAAACTCCAATATCCCTCGCTTTGGAGTCAAGACAGAGACTGAGGATGAACTCGCAAAGGTGCGTTTGTGTCTTGACAAATGCTGTAAACACAGACTGTGCAGCAGTCTCAGTAAATCACATACCATGCACACCATCTAAAATGTACTTTGGGTGGAGGCTCAGGTAATGATTAAGAAAAAAGAAAAAATAGAATGTTTTGTTTCTCACTTTTCCCTTCAGGAGCTGGAACATGTGAATAAATGGGGCCTTAACGTTTTTAAAATCTCAGAGTTTTCTGTGAATCGGCCACTGACAGTCATGATGCACACAATATTCCAGGTAATGGCCGTCACTTCTTTTAGCCTATTTGTCTTGACCTTTCACTTCAAAATAAATGTTTGTTGAATGCTGAAATTGCTTTGACAATAAACTCCCTCTTGTTTTTTCTGTTGTTTTAGGAGAGAGACTTGTTAAAAACTTTTAAAATTCCACTTGACACCTTTATAACGTACCTGATGACCTTAGAAGACCATTATCATGGCGATGTGGCCTACCATAACAACATTCATGCTGCTGACGTCACCCAGTCAACTCACGTGCTGCTATCCACCCCCGCCCTCGAGGTGAGGTGCACACACAAACACACACAGAGCAAATGAACATACTTTATACACATGCACTGACATATACACATGCACACAGACACAGAAACATAGCTCATGCTTCCCCAATCAGCTCCAGTCAAACTCCTGCTCGATGTCCAATCAATAGCTGTTACTTGCAAGGATATTTTTGTCCAGTGATTTGATTTGATTTGACGCCCTCGCTCCTCCCCTCTGTGCTTGGTTCTTTTATTCTAGGCTGTGTTCACAGACCTTGAGATCCTAGCTGCCATCTTTGCCAGTGCAATTCACGATGTGGACCATCCTGGAGTCTCCAACCAGTTCCTCATTAACACCAGTGAGTCTAAATGCAGTACTGTCTTAACAGCTACGTCAGTGGCTCAGCAGTGTCGTTAGTGCGTATTCACTAACATGAACACACACTTACAGTCTGTTACCCAGGTGGGAACATGCACACTCTAGCCTCTGCTTCACTAGCACACACACAAACACACACTAGCATATTGCAGACAATTTCTCAAATTAATGAAATTTCATATATAGACCAAATGCACATGTATATTTACTGTGCATGAATGGCAAAAATATTTAAAACTGATCACACATGCACACCCTTACCAACATGCTTTTAATTACATGTGATGACTTTGACATGTGGTTTCAGGGCAGAGGAGTTCAAAGAAGAGATCACTATTGTCCTCAAAAAAGCCCCTTTCCTATTCTCAGGGCAAAAAGACAAAGATGTAGTCGGCCACACTGCACACTGAAACTATAGGCCACTTTCATATGTGGTCCTAAATCGGATATGTATCCGATGTTTTGCAATGCGACTTCAGTCTGAACGGCCAGGGCGCATGAAATGCGACAGACGTCACAATTCTGCGCTGGAGGAGGTGAGGGGTAATAAAAAAATGGCAATGACAACGGTGATTCAGGTGGTGATAACGTTTCCCTTCTCACTCGGAAATTATTAATGAATTCTGTGTCCGTGAAGCCCCTCACGGAATCCCACCAGTCCTGGCTCCGACTCCGCACCCACACATTCCTCTGTACAGAGGTAGCAGCCACTGATCCACAAAAGGCCATAAGCAATATTTGTGCTCTCCTTCTTCTTGATATTCTTCTTATTATTATGTCTTTATTTCGATTGCAAATTGTCAGGTACATCGCTACGCACATGCTGTCACAAGCCTCATCCATTTTTATTTCCGCAAACACAGTACGCTGTGTCTGACGTCACGTCCTCTTCTGCGTATGCGGGTCACTTCAGGGCTGTATATTGTTCACACATGAGACAGATGGCAGTCGCATTTAAATGACAGTGTGAACAACAGCGCAAAAAAATCGGATTTCGGCAAAAAATCCGATCTGAGCATTAAGACCTGCAGTGTGAACGTAGTCTAACCGTGCAGCCAAATGCAGATTGTTATTGTTGTGTGGAATTGGCAGTTTTTGCTGCCGCCCCATTACAGTTAGTCTGCTTGATTGAGTTTTGTTTTTGCTTCATTTTTCACATTTTAGACTTTTCTTCTTATGGAGGGGATGTTATTTTTTCCCTGACCAGTCATTAATGGCATATCCTTTTCAGTAGACAGAGACAGGATGGAGGTTGCTTGGGACAGTTGTTTGTTTGTCATGTTATTTTTACAAAAGTTCTTTTTGGAATTGTGTAGCCTGTATATCTACATTCATCCGTGTGTTGCCAATTTTGTGGCAAACCTTGTGATGTAATTTTTTTTTTTTTTTTTTTTTTTTCGCAGGAAATGAAATTACCATTCTCAGCCCTATCCACAAAACTCTTGAGTGGCTGAGTTGTCTTCCAACAGTGAGAACAATAGCAGACCTATTAGATTTTCTGAAAAGGTTGAGATAAGGCTAACAATTGAAAGGAGTATAAAGAGATATATCGAATTTCATTTGTCATTTTCACTGCATTAAAAAAAATTTACAAAAAAAAAGAAGAAATCTTCCCATAATCAGTGTTTCCTTTACTCTCAAAACCACAGACCTCACTATGATCTGGTGTTTTTAGGGACTCTGGGGGGAAGCCTCTATTTTTACAGCATGACAAACCAAACTAATAGTGTTCATACAGTCATATTTGAAACTGATGTGTCCTCAAGCAAGAGGCTGAACCCCTGTTATTTTTGCTTTAACTGTTTCACTTTTTTCCTGACTGGAGGTCCCTCAGATATTGCCTTAATTTGGTAATTTCAAGGAAAACAAAAATAAATAGTTTATATCTAAAGAGTATTACAAATGCGAGTGTTGCCTAAGAGTATTAGTAATACAGAAAAGACACTATGGGCTCACTTGCACATGTGTTGTGCTTCCCGTAACCCTCAAATGGGCAATCCCTGCAGTAAAGGCAGGGTGAGTCATCCTAGTTAGGAGCCACCAGACTGATCTTCTGTCAGCCACAGAGCAACAGAGCAGGATCCCCTTTCTCCTTTCTGTTGCTCTGTTCCACTGTGGCCAAGACTAATGCATCTTAATGGAAAATCTAAATACAGCTAGAAGACCTTCAAATGACCCTGAGTGGGGGAACCTCTCAGCGGAAAACATGCCGGTGCTTTCTTCTGGCGCTCACAGAGCGAGGGATGGATGTTAAATGTGCAACCGCAACACATATAAAAATTAGGGAGCAGAGAAATTAACACCTCAATCTGTTGAAAAGATATACCTTGTTGCTTAAGTTTTGCATTGCACAAGTTTATTTATTTTGAGTTTTTTTTTTCCATTTTATTATTTGTCATGATATACTTTTGGAACTAGTTTCATTTTTGAAAACTTGAAGGATCACAATTCCATAAATTACAATGATCAACTGTGTGTGTTCCTTGCAGATTCAGAGCTAGCACTGATGTACAATGACTCATCGGTGTTGGAGAACCACCACCTAGCAGTTGGTTTCAAACTCCTACAGGAGGAGAATTGTGACATCTTCCAAAACCTGACCAAAAAACAAAGACAGTTACTACGAAAGATGGTCATTGACATTGTAAGTGAAAACATTTACATCTCTTCTATATAGTTTATGCCAACTGACTTAGCTTGTTCAGTGGGGAAGGTAAGACAAATAATATTAAATGGAATGCATTATTTCATTTGGTAATAAATGCTTCTTACATTTGTTAGACTAAGTATTGATTGTTTGTTTTGGGGTGTCCTAAGGTGCTAGCAACAGACATGTCTAAGCACATGAACCTACTGGCTGATCTGAAAACTATGGTAGAAACCAAGAAGGTGACCAGCTCCGGTGTCTTGCTGCTGGACAACTATTCAGATAGGATACAGGTGAGAATAAAGCTGTCCACAAACCACAAGATCCATATCACTGTGTTTTGGTGATTTTCATACATATTTAAAGTTTTTTTTTTTTTTTGGTTTTCTTAAAGATTTTGTAATGCTTAGGCTTCTGAAAGCTTTTCACATGAATTCCTCATCATTCCAGAAAGATTTGTGGTGTTTAAAGCATGATGAAGTGGTGACTTTCTTTCGAGTCATGTGACGCGTTCTTTTAAGGGTCAGGTTTACAGCTGGTGTAAATTTGTTGCACTAAACCAAGTTGACATCTGAACACTGAAACCAGAGCACAAATATAAATATACAGATATATTTTTTCACCTCTGTGAACAAATCTTTTAAGCTCAACTACTTCATTAAAATGAGATCATTCCATCCTGAAATTTCATTGTTGTAAATGATATTTTGACCAAGCCCTTATGCTTTAACCATGCCTACATCATAGAATATGTGACAAAGATGGGAACTGTGTCATGTTCAGGTTCTTCAGAACATGGTGCACTGTGCAGACCTCAGCAACCCCACTAAGCCTCTCCAGCTATACCGGCAGTGGACAGACCGCATCATGGAGGAATTCTTCAGCCAGGGTGACCGAGAGAGGGAGAGGGGCATGGAGATCAGCCCCATGTGTGACAAACACAATGCTTCAGTAGAAAAGAGCCAGGTAACACACACACAGTCACACACATGTACTGTGTACGTATATAGACAGAAGTTATAAGCTAGTGTAAGATATACGCTATACAGTAAGTAGACTAAACAATAGTATACAACTATAAAAAGGAGAAATAAAAAGATGTCATTATATAGCGTTATGGCATTGGGAAGCAGCGATTCATTCTTTTATTACAGCAGAGGTGAAGGAGTCTCTTATTCAAAGTGCTCTCAGCTGTTTGACCAGTAGGTCGTGGGTCATGTATGACTGTAAATGCATGTTGTACATATGTCCACACTGAATGATCTACTCTCCCCCCATCATTTAGGTTGGTTTTATAGACTATATTGTTCATCCTTTGTGGGAAACGTGGGCTGACCTGGTCCATCCGGACGCCCAGGACATCCTGGACACATTGGAAGACAACAGGGAGTGGTACCAAAGCACCATCCCCCAAAGTCCATCTCCTGCACTGGATGAGCCTGAGGACGGCACTCGGCCCCCAGGAGGGGACAAGTTCCAATTTGAGCTCACCCTAGAGGAGGACGGGGAGTCAGACACTGAGAAAGACAGTGGTAGTCAGCCAGAGGAGGAGGAGGAAGAAGAAGATGAGGAGGAGGAGGAAGAGGATGAGAACAGCTGTACTGACTCTAAAACACTCTGTACACAGGACTCTGAATCAACAGAGATTCCTCTGGATGAACAGGTGGGGGAGGATGAGGAAGAGGAGGAAGCAGAAGAGGGGGATACCCCTTGCTCACAACCATGTGTAGCGGAGGGAGATGTAGCGGAGGAGGAGGAAGAGGAGAAAGAGAAATCCCCCGACACATAGCAGTTTATGGATAGCACCTGATTAACTGCTCTTCTTAGTAATGACAGATGATAATTTATAGAATATTTTTTTGGGTTTTGTGGAGTCTGTGTTTTTTATACATCTCTATTGATGGTTCCAAAGCGTGCGCTGCTCTCCACTTTGGCCGCTCCTCCAGTCAGCTTTGTTCTGACACGCCCACCGGTACTTCAAGTTTTTTTGCACTCAGGAAAACTCCTTTCCATTCCCATTTGTACTGAGGTGGTGTGTCTTTATTTTCCTTCTGCACTCCCCCCCCCTCCCCACTACAAGCTTAAGTTTAGGATATGG